GCCTCTGCGCAAAGTGCTACAAATGTCAGATAGGAAGCAAGGACCTGGTGGTCTGAAGGTGAGTTTCCAAGTAAATGTATTATGCATATAGCTAGCAAATTATGCAAATCGTTGGGAGTTTCATAACTCCTCCTGGTTTACTTAGGTACGACTTAACTTGTTTCCAACAGTACGGCGTACAGAACGCGCGGCTACATCAAGCGATCACTGTATAGGGCAAAAAAATATAACGAACGACTCGACACTAGCAGCACAGGCAGTTCCGACAGCATCAAGCAGCATTAGCGGCGCCATTACTTCGGCGGCTCGAAAGAAGAATGGGACGACGTGTACGTGAAATTGAGCAAGGCACGGGCACACTCTTCGTTCATAGGCGATCACACCTCAGAATTCGAATGCAAGCGACAGATGCTTATGATTGTAATTCGACCAACGACACTGACGCGGCAACAACACTGTCGCGGCAACAATTGCGTTGCGGCGCTTCGGGACAACAACGTCTGAAAGTGCACGCGTGGCGTGAAGAATTTGCACATGAAGTGGGTGTAAAATAGTTGAAGGCGCTAGATTGGCAGTGTTGCTGTGTATTGCTTTACGCATCCTAACTGCAACGGGGTACAGTAAGTAATGTATTACTGAGCGCGTATTTCTAATTACAATTGTACAAATTACAATACTACAAATCGAAAATTCAACTACAGTTGGTGTAATTGGGAGTACCGAAAAATCGGTACTTGTAAAATTTACGAAGATCCAAAAGGAGGGTTAAGGTAGAGGTGGGCATACCAGAAAGAAACGCCAAGGGCAAATGGACCAACTTAAGAAGCTTTTGTCGATTTTAAGTCCTGATGAAATCAGGAAATTGGCGACCAAAGCGCCGACAGCGGTAATTTCTTGCCTTGAGACGCAAACCATCTTTGAGAATGCACTGATGGGGACGTCTTTGACTGCCACAACCGGGGCCCGTGGAGTACCAAATGGCTCCACCTTAAGGCCGTTGCTGTTGGGCGTTCAGGCCTTTATGGGCCAGGACGGAGAATATATCTTCCTTTGTATATGTAAGGTTGATGTGGTCACGGGTTTAACTTTGCTCCGAACGGACTCACAGCGCGTCGCACTTGTGATCTCCAACCTAGGAGGTCGCGCGCAAGATTGCACGTTTAAGTGTAACAGCTCGCTGATAGAGGCGCTCCTAATGTGGGAAAATGTTAAGCGACATATGTCGCGGATATTCGCACCGCCTAATCGACGTTTCGAGCTCGTTTAGAGTTGTTGTCTACCCGTCAAGGGAGCAAGAAGTAGCGGATTATGTCTAGGGGATAAGAACTTTAATCACCGCAACGGTGTATAGGCGATAACGGAAACAATATTTATGGAAAGTCTCCGAACGAACGTACATTGCACCAAGACCTACCGCGTACACTCTTACGCGTTCAAGGAAGCGGTAAGCATCGTCTTTTATGCAAAGCACAACTATCGCGTTGCGGAGGTAGGATCGCATTACAAAATGCAATCGTTGCACCCAATGTGTCGCTTTTTTTTCGTTCTTTGCGCGCATAAGTATCATGTTACCTATTCGAAACTCGATGCGAAAAACCACATTGCCCCGTCATCTCTACCTTCGTTACAGAATGCAAATCAATGTCGCCACGAGGTCTTTGCCAGTAACTGCGTTTAAACATTATTCATTAGAGATTCCCGAAAGTGTTGCGTGCACCAGCGCTTGCACCAGCTACATCGGAGCAAAATCATGGTTTCTCGAAGCACAAAAAGGTTACCAAATCTTTCGTACCCTCAGCCGTGAGTGGAATGGATCGCAAGGCGCAGATGTTTTATACTACAACAGGCAAAATTTCTGAGGGTCCTTTGGAGTTATTTGCCGCGAAGATATCTCTGACTTCTTCCTCTGCACGGTTGAGGTCATCAGCTCTGGCGCTCTCTTGGGGAATTACGTTCCCAGCAATCGGGCTCCCACGTACGTTTGGACTGCAGAACCTCTCAGGGATAACGACCAAGTCTCAGCAGGTGCAGGGTTGCTGCGGGGCTGCCGTAGCTCTTTGATCAAAGGAAGCTAAGCTATGGTCATTGACCTTACGTTCTATACTAGAACCAGTATGAGTGTAGCGGATCGCAATCCGCTAACTCCAAGAATACCCACAACCTTAACCCAAGGCAAATACTCTCTTCCATTCTAATTTTGAACTGTATTTCTTTTGTTTGATTTGCGGCAGAGTCGCCTATATTTAAATCTATAGTTCTTGAAATATATAGGAAAACCTAATGAAAATGCATAACTACTGGCAGTTCCGCCACCTAGTGGCTTCTTGTTGAGCCACACCATTGTGTGGTCAAGCCATCTTGTGTGACCCACCCTTTCATATCAGGGTTCGTGTAACGTTACATTCTCCCCAATCAAAATTGTGAATACCCATATTTCACATTTAACTGTCGCCTCGTACGAGGCTCGTGTGCAGCGGGGCCGCCGTAGCGTTGCGCTTAGAGGAGGCGTAATTTAGGTCACCGACCTTTTCGTTCTATACTTAGAACAAGTACGAGTTAGCAGATCGCAACCCGCTTACTCCAAGATTAATTATTGCCTTAACCCAAGGCTATGAAGAGAAGAGAAGAGAAGAGAAGAGAAGAGAAGAGAAGAGAAGAGAAGAGAAGAG